ATTCCCGAAAGTACATGATAATTCTAGAAACGTTGCGTCACGTGGTCATGTGACTCGCTGACGCAACAATATCTTAAGTCATCCCACAGTTGACCAAGTTCCTATAGTTTATGATATGGGGGAAGCTTGAGCTGTCATTCTCTTCAACAAAACTGTCTTTATCTTATGGTAGTGCAAAACTCTCCCACTCTGGAAGCAGAATTTAGCACATCTTTCTGAAGTAGCTTATGTGATTTTTGCATTGCAACAAAATATGGATAATCTAACTGTGAAGAAAAATTTAGTTTGTTTTTTAAATATTTATTTTATTGCAAAATGGGACAAAGGATCATCTCGCTATGGATACAGACATTAACCATATTTCAATAAAGATAAACTTTGGCCATTTTACTTTTAATAAAACTGGGGGTAGCCTTACTTTGAACCAAAACTCGGATAATTTTACTGCTGCTTTAGATAAAAAAAAAGTTCATGTTGTTTTATTTAAAAGCAAAGTTCACATCTTCGGATCATCTTAATTTGGCGAATAGTTGAGTTACCTTTTTGAAACGAAAGCTATGAGTAATATGGCTGTTAAGAAAAGTTTGCATCATCGATGTGAAGAGAAAGCTTAGATTTTTTTGCTGTATAGCATGGTTGAAGCCACTAATCTGTATTATTATTATTATATCGGGTATCATTTTTTGAACAAAGCTCAAATAATCTTACTGTTACAGTAAAATCAGGTATAGACTACAGGCCAATTTACTAAAACCATGTAAAACTGGAAAAACTGTATATGAAGAAGGGATGTAAAATATTGTTACGTCTCCGTTTGTTAATTAACTTTCCGTAACTTCGTTCCGACGAAACTTAAGCGACACAAGTCTTTACTTAATAAAACTGGTTTATTCTTTCCGAATATAACTCTGCGATACACTTAATCTCAGTACTCGCGCTAAAACAAATACTATAACGAACGAACGTTAACTTCAACAATACCCTGTGACTGCAGTTCAATTACTCACTATCTATACTCACATTACCATCCCCTCTTTTATATACCAGCCTACCCTATATCTAGTAAGAACTAGAACATTCGCCAAAGTACATGATAGTTCTAGAAACGTTGCGTCACAGTAGTCATGTGACTCGATGACGCAACAATATTTAAGTCCCTATCCTTCAAAATGAACTATGTATTTCACACTTTTATATTTTTATGATTAAGCCTAAACATCGAAGATCTTGTTTCTTGTCTTATTAACATACTTCAAAGGTGTTTTCATAATCCAAAGAATCTGAATTAACTTCAATAAGTTTACTTTTTCTGACTCCAATAATTTCCATTACGTATCTTCTTTGTCTAATCCTGGAAATTAGGACACACGCGGTTAAAAGTTCTGGAACATATTTGTTGATCAACAAAAGAAACTATGAAAATCACTGAAAAATAAAACCAGCATCTTGAACAGGCACCTTTGGAATTTGCAAACAAAAATTGATATTGTTGTAATAAAGAAATGTATTGCTTTCAAAATAGAGATAAGTTCTCTATTGATTTGACGAATTATCCTGCTCCCCTAGTGACCTCTAAAAACTCACTAAACGTACAAAGCATCTCGCTGGCTCTCACTGACGAAAGTTACTTTTATTTTCTCTTTGAAAGTAAATATATGTTACGTCTCCGTTTGTTAATTGATTTTCTGTAACTTCGTTCCGACGAAACTTTAGCGACACAAGTCCTTACTTAATATAACT